GCGGAGCGCGCGCCCTGGGTGGCGCAAGGGGCGCCACCGGGGGAGTCCGGCGCAGATCCAGGGCGCGCGCCCGAAGCCTCCAGGGTGAATGCTTGCGCGTCTCCGCTTCGATTCGGGGACCGACTACAGTCGGGGGTTTGACCTAAGGAACCCTAAATTCGCCGGCCCAACGGGCCAGGGCGTGCTAAGATCTCCGGTACCTGGTTAACAGTATTTCTAGTTCGCGCGCGCGGGGCGGCCCCTGGGGGTCCCCGGACAAAAAGTACCCCGGCAAGGTCCCGGCAAGTCCCGGCAAGTCCCCGGCAAGGTCGGGCCAGAGATGCCGGAGCCATGTTACAGGGCCCCAGGACGGGCCAAGAGGTCCCCAAGAAGCCTCCAAGACGGTCCAAGAGGGCCCCGAGACGGCCAAAGATCGCCCGAAGACGCCCAACAGGGCCCCAAGACAGCCCAAGAGGCCTCCAAGACGCCCCAAGGGCCTTCCAAGAGGCCTCCGAAGAGGGCCCCAAGAGGCCAAAATCGTTGATTTTCATTGTTTTTTCTATGTTTTTTGCGGTCTGGCTTTTTCGGCTTCCGGACGCTCCAAGACGGCCCAAGAGGCCCCCAAGACCGCTCCAAGACGGCCCACGAAGCTCCCAAGACGGCGCCGAAACGACCCAAGAGAGCCCTCAATACGGCCCAAGTGCCGCCCAAGACGGACCAAGAGGCCCCAAGACGGGCCCAAGAGGGGCTCAAGAGGGATACAGAGAACTGAAAAATCGAGCCCTCCGCCCCAGAAGGCGCCCAGGAGGCCCCAAAAAGGCCCCAAGAGGCCCCCAAGAGGCCCCCAAGACGCCCCAAGAGGCGCCCAAGAGGCCCAAAAGAGGCCCCAAGAGGCCCCAAAACGGCCCCCAAGAGGCCCCCAAACTCGGCTAGCCCACAACGGTGCGACAATATGGGCCGGCGGAATGAGCGAAGCGATTAAATAAGGAACGAGGCCCCTTTTCTCCCATAAGTTGAACTTCGATTTACCATGGAAAACCTCAGGAAAACAGAAGGCACACTGTAAAACAATCAAGGAACACCGAGCCCCTCCCCAACGAAAAGGGTTCCTTCTGCAGGGCCCCGACTGTACAGGACGAGTTCATTTTGGGTGACCCAAAAGGGGGTCCAGCTGAAAGGGGGTGTTGCAACAGATCTGGGGCAATTATATTGCGAATGGATTGCGCCAGAGAGTTGTCTTGCAGTGAATTGCAAGTAATGTATTGCACGCGAAAATCCAGAAATACATTTGCGCCCTGGAATGTATTACACGCCCCAAATGTACTGCGAACCCGCAAATCTATTGCACCAAATCTAGTGCACCACCCCCTTGTCGCTGGACCCCCTTCTGGGCCAACCCGATTCATACCTCAGAACTCATTTTCCCCATCGAATCTACGACGAGGACCTAGAATCTCCGTAATAAATCGACTGAGACTTCTGAACACGCATTTTCCGCAGAACCGACGAGAAGATGAGCTCTGGGGTATAGATCAATTGTGCAGTCGCTCCTCTGCTCGATCGATGCCCTCTGCGAAAGCGCTGATGCCTGGGCCCGGGCCATGCGCTCGGACGTCGCTGCTCCTTCGGGATCCCTTCTTCCTGCCACCCTCCATCCCCGTCCCCGTCGTCGCCGTTATCCTCCCCCCTGCTCCTGCTCCTCCTCCTCCTCCTCCTCCTCCTCCTCCTCCTCCTCCTCCTCCTCCTCCTCCCCTCCTCCTCCTCCTCCTCCTCCTTCCTCCTCCTCCTCCTCCTCCTCCTCCTCCTCCTCTCCTCCTCCTCCTCCTCCTCCTCCTCCTCCTCCTCCTCCTCCTCCCCTCCTCTTCCTCCTCCTCCTCCTCCACTCCTCCTCCTCCTCCTCCTCCTCCTCCCCCTGCCCTCGTCCTCCCCCTGCCCTCGTCCTGCCTTCTTCCTGGGCCCCGTCCCCCCCTTCCCGGGAGTGCGACCCGGACTGTTTCCCACACGGGGCCCCCAGGGAGTCTCGAGCATTCCCCCAGGTCTGGCCCTTCTCGGGGGCGGCCAAGAGGGGGGCGTCCAAGAGGGGGGGGTGCAAACCATGGCCGGCGGCACGTGCGCGGCCCAAGGGGGGGGGGGCCAGGGACGCAGTGAAACAAGAAAGGGCGCCATGCAATCTGGGGAAATATCATGGCCCACGCCATGATATCCACCCCTCCCTAATCGGTGGTGGATAAGCCTCCCTTTGAAAAACCACCCTTTAGTGAAAACGGCCTGGGACCGAAACTGACGGACCTGGACCCGAAAAAATGACGGCCGCACAACCCTCTCGCGAACCGAAAACGGCCAATTCACTATTCGACGTGTCAGGGTAGGAGGTCTGTCCCCCCCCCCTGGTCATCACCCCCCTCAATTGGCCGCCCCCGACGTTCCTAGAGGCGTTCCTAGAGGCCTCCTAGATGGGGTCCGAGTAGATGGGGTCGAAGCATCGCGCCACATCTCCAATGCATCGCCGATGTACCGGCGATGCATCGGCGATACATCGGCGACGCGTCGGCGATGCGTCGGCGACGTCGGCGTGGGAACCCACGGGCTCCGCATCGAGCCGCATCGACGACGCATCGGCGATTCGGCGCGATCCTCCGACCCCATCTACTCCGACCCCATCTAGGACAGACCGTGGTGTTTCAACCCCCGCGAAAACGAATCAACCACTTGACAAACACTTGCCTCCGCAGTTGTCCCGGCACGAGGAAGGCGAGCAGGAGGAGGAGGGGGCGAGAGATTTCAGGTGCCCCTGGAAGCGGAGATCGTTCCAGAGGGTGGGAGGAGGACCAAGAGGGTCAGGAAGGGGATCTGGCGTGGTGGCGGAGTCAGCTCGCAGGAGGCCTAGACCTCCCCATCCCAAGCCGCTGTCTGACGGCCCCCCGGGGCCCGGCGAGGGCGCCCCCTGGTGGAGGGCGCAGGCGGCGGCGGCCTCCTCCTCCTCCTCCTCCTCCTCCTCCTCCTCCTCCTCCTCCTCCTCCTCCTCTGAACTCTGAACTCTCTCCGGTCCTCCAGGGCCAGGCCTCCCGCGGCCGCCTCGGGGGGACGCTCCCGGGCGTGCACCCCCCTCGGAGGCTCTCGGCGAGGCCGCACGCCGCCGGGCAGCCTCTCCCGAGGCTGGGCCACACCGAGGAGAACCGCCGGGCACGCCCGAAGGCACCTCGCGCCTCGCGCCTCCCGCCGCGGCTTCTCGGGGCACGCCGCCCCTCCCCGCGCGCCCCCCCCGAAGGCCGACGGCACCGGCGTGGAGCACGGGCCAGGCAGGCGCGCCCCCAGAACCCGAGTCACCGGGGTGCCGGGACGAGCACGCCGCTCGCCGCCCGCCCCCGCCCGCCGCCTGCTGTCGCCTGCCGCCGTGTCCTCGTGCTCCCGGCTCCTCGCTCCTCCTTGCGAGCGTCTTCTTACCCGCGCTTCGACATGGGGCGGAAGGTATGGGGGTGGGGGAGACTCCACCTGCGTGAAGCAGGCGCTAGAAACAGCCAAGATCTGCCCCACGGGGGGGAGGGGGAGGGGGGGGGGCGAGGGCCTGCGCCGATCGGCAAAACAGTGAATAAGAGAACGACGACCTTATCCTAGCGCTCCCGCTCCTCGCTCCTCCCGTTCCTCGCTCCTCCTGCTCTTCGCTCCTCGTTCGTCGCTGCGGGGCCGACGCCAGAGGGGCTGCCCCTGCAAGACCAACGGGCCCCCACGCCCCGAGAGGGGAGGGGACCTTTCTTGCTGCCCCGGGCAGCCCGCGCGCCTGCGCGACCGAGGGCTGCCCCTGCTCCTCCTGCGTGGGGAGGGGAGGGGGGCAGGAGGGGAAATGGACGCTCTCCGGGAAAAGAGGGGGCGGCACTCCAGAAAGAGGGGGCCGCGCTCCGGGTAAACTTCTGCCCCCTGGGATAGATGGCTCTCCAGGCCAAGACCTTTCCGGCTCCATGCCCTTGGGCGGAAAATCCTCAGCACCAAACTTAGAACAGCAGATTCCGCGGGACAGGAGGGAGAGAAAGGGGGGCGGCGAAAGGGAGGGCGGGGGCGTCCCCCTCGTCCTCCTCCTCCGTCCTCCATCCTGACTCCTCCTCCTCCTCCTCCTCTCCCCTCTCCTCCTCCTCTTCCTCCTCCTCCGTCTTCTCCTCCTCCTCCTCCTCCTCCTCCCTCCCTCCTCCCTCCTCCCTCCTCCCTCCTCCCTCCTCCCTCCTCCCTCCTCCCTCCTCCCTCCTCCCTCCTCCCTGCTCCCTCCTCCCTCCTCCCTCCTCCCTCCACCTCCCTTTTCCTACTCCTCCTCGTTCTTCTCCTCCTCCTCCTCCTCCTCCTCCTCCTCGTCCTCCTCCTCCTCCTTCCTTTTCCTCCTCCTCCTCCTCCTCCTGCTCGTCCTCTTCCTCCTCCTCCTCCTCATCCTCCTCCCCCTCCTCGTCATCCTCCTCCTCTTCCTCCTCCTCCCCGATGTCGTGGAAGGAGGGAAGGGGGCAGAAGGGAGGAACGACGGGGGAGCGGGGGAAACGGGAAGGACGACAACGACGACGACGAATACGAGGACAACGAACAGGCAACAACGGGAGGGAGGGATGGGAAGGGGGAGCGAGGGGGTAGAGGGAGTGCAAAAGGGTTCCTCGTTCTTCTCCTACTCTTCCTCCTCCTACCTAGTGTACTGGAAGAGGGGAGGGATGGAACACTACAAAAAAGGCGAGCGCCACAACGCTCTTGTACACCACTGGTGACCGCTGCAGCAGCAGCTTCTGCTTGCACCACTCGGGGATCTTCTGACCCGGGTCAATCCAGACCCGGGTCAGCAGGCAACTAAAAACTGCAATGCAAGAACAAAAAAACTGCAACGCAGGTCTTCGCAAACCCGGGTCAACCAATATGCGCGGCCGCCTCGCGGCCACGAGCGGCTCGCTAACCCGGGTCAGCCGGAGGGGGTCTTCGCAGGATCCTGCAGGATCTGGTGCCCTGGCTGACCCCCGTTTACATTGACCCCCGTCTCTTGAACCCCGAACCACAACGCAAAAATACACCCCGGTGCATGTGCACACACCAGGAGCCGCGTGCACCACAACGCATGGCGAACATTTGCGCCACACCGCTCATGTGCACCTCCAAGGTCCCGACGGGACTCAAATCTGGAAAATCGCCAAAACCCGAACGTATCAATTTCAATATGTAAGATTGTTGCGATTATTGTTTATTCTGACCCGGGTACGGTCCTCCGTTTGGGGCCGACCATGATTGTGTACACCACACGGCCTGTCGAGTGTGCACCACACCACGGCGCCTTTGTACACCACGGCTGCTCGTGTACACCGCAGTGCCTTTCTACGCAACAGTGCCTGTGTACACCACAATGCCTGTGTGCACTACAGCAGCCGTGTGTACAACAACGCCTGTGTTCACGCAGAGACTTGTGCACACCAAAGCAGCCGTGTGCACCACAACGCATGGCGAGCGTATGCGCCACACCGCTTCCGCGCCCCCGACGGAACCCGAATCTGGAAGATCGCCGGGGGCCCGAACATATCAATTTCAATACGTCTTGATGTTCCTGGTCCAGGGTACGGTCCCCCCGTTTTGGGCCGACCATGTCAGTATACACCACAGTACCTGTCTAGTGTACACCACGACGCCTTTGCACGCCACAACTGCTTGTGTACACCGCAGCGCACGTCTGCACAACAATGCTTGCTTACACCAGAATGCCTCACTACACTACAACAGCCGTGTGTACAACTGCTCCTGTGTACACCACAGTGCCTGTGCACATTGCGACGATTATGCGCACCGCGGTTGCTGCTTCAGCACCATATGTGTGGACCACAGCTCCGGTGCACCAACATGCTTGTGTACACCACAGAAGTGCGCACACTTCCAAGGCCCTGGCGGGACCGAAGACAGGGAAATCGTAGGGAATCCGACCGTATCAATTCCAACATGTATGTTATTTATGATTGTTTGTTCTTCTGGCGAGTGGAACTGTCCCGTCTTTGTAGCCAGCAACGCTTGTGTACACCAAAAGCACCATACCGACCGCGTATACATACATTAGCGGCTGCGCACGCCGCAGCGGCTGTGTACACCACAAGGCGTGGTACACCGCAATGGCCGTGCACCAGAATTCTTCTGCACACCACCATGCCTGGAATGCCTGCATGAGCTATACGTGCCGTTGCAGCAACAATTGTGTACACCACCAAACCCGTCTACACCCTAGTGCCTGCGTGCATCACGATGCCCGCGTGCACCGCGCGGCCTGCGTGTGGTCATGCTTGCGTGTGCCACAACGCCTGCGTACACAACATATCCTGCTGCGTCCACCAAATCGCCTCGCTGCTTGTACACAACGCAATGCCTATGTACGCGCTGTTCACGTGCAGTTCCGGATGCCTATGGACGACATCGGCCGTCGTCGTCGTCGTCGTCGCCGTCTTCGTCTGCGTCTTCGTCGTCCTCCCCCGGCCACCTCAAGCCCCAACGCTTCACCAGCGTGCATTCAAGCACCAACATGCTGTTGAGATTGTCATCGCCTTAAGGCGTGTCAGTCTTAGAGTTAAGTCGGGCCTGTCCCCCTACAGGGGGATTTTGGATGACAAATAAAAAATGCCCAACAAATGCCCAAAACATGCTCAAACATACCCAAAAAATGATAATCCCCTTTCTATTTTTGTGGCTATTCTTGGAGATCCCCCCTGTAGAGGGACAGGCCCGACTTAATCTTAGGGATAGGGACAAATTCGAGGCTGGTGACCACCCCACCCCTGGAGGGGCAGGAGGGGAAAAAACACACACAGACACAATTAATCGTCGATCCCCAGGAATATATGGGAAAATATGGGAAGTGGGGGGGAAGACAAAAGCCCAGAAAATATGGGAAAATATTGAAAATATGTTTATTTGTGTGTATCTATTTGTGTGTCCTGGGGCCCCTTCAGGAGGGGCAGGGGCCCGTCGGCAGCCCGGCGGGCGCACGGCCAGGCCCCCGTCGGCAGCCTCTGGAGCACGATCCCAGGCGCTAAAAAATGGGAGAGAACGCGAAAAACACAGTTTTCTGCGATTTCTGTATAATTTTCTGACTGGAAGAAAACAATTAAACAAAAATGTTCCAGCCCGCGGCCGGTTTTTTCTAATCAGCATCCCGGGCGCCGCCGCGTGAACACGTCCCCCAGTCATTTATTGATCGCCATCCTCCATTACGGTGGGGGCATTGGATAAGAAATTTCTTTTTGTAATAGGCAGCATAGAGGACCTCTTCGTGAAAGATTCACCAGCACGTGATGAGTGCGTGTGCTACGCTCGAGAGCCGACAGGTCACCAGTGCCTCGCTGTCACGCCGCAGAGCTTGATCCCACAATGGGTAGCATGCAGTCCCCCCGATGAGAACTGAGAACGGGGCACCGAAACTCGAAAGCAAGTCAAGTCATCCCGAAACTCGAAAACGGGGCACCGAAAACTGGATAGGGAACCCTCGGATGAGGAATCCAGGGTCTCGAGGCTGGCGGAACACCAATCGTGGATCGGCCATGGCTGTCACCGCCGCCCTCATGGGACAAGGAACCCTCCAGGGTCCGGCGCCTCCTGGGACTATTCCTTCACAAACGCCTCCACCGTATACTCCAGATTTCGTAATAAAGGGAGGGGGGTCTCATTTCGGGGGGGGGGTCTCTTCCAGGCTATCTTGGAGGGCCTGGGGGGTCTGGGGACGATGTTTTGGAGGGTTCTCCCACGGGGGAGGTCTGAAATGGCTTGTCTTGGAGGGTCCAGACCCCCTCCCTTTTATTACGAAATCTGGAGTATGCAAGAGTGCGCCCCCGACGAGACGACGGCGGAGGAGGCGATGGAGAAGCCCGTCGGCGTCGAGCGACGGATGTGCCGCCCCCTTGCCCGGTGCCACCACGGCGCATGCTCCCTGGAGCCGCGCGGCGCGGCCCTGGGAGTTCACAGCGGGAGCTTCCCGAACATATCTGGCAGCCCGGAAGACCTGAGAAAGTCGCGCGTCCCTCCTCCTCCCTCCTCCTCCCTCCTCCTCCCTCCTCCTCCCTCCTCCCCCCTCCTCCCCCCTCCTCCTCCTCCTCCTCCCTCCTCCTCCCTCCTCCTCCCTCCTCCTCCCTCCTCCCTCCTCCTCCCTCCTCCCCCTCTGAGCGCCGCCTGAGGGTCGAGAAGTTGCGCGCAACTTCCGACCGAGGTCGACATCGAGAACGCCATCTTCTGTAAGGGCACGGGGCTCGCAGAGGTCCTCGAGAGCGCCTTCGCTGGGCAGGCGTGCATCCAGACGTGCATGACCGTGTGGATCTTGGAACACTCCGCCAAGGAATGCAGAGGCGCCGCCATGGACCCCGCCAATAAGATCAGGGAAAAGACTTGCCGCGTCGTGGCCATCATGGCCAACGGCGGCCTCAATGTACCAGAGTCGCTTCGCGCGGCGGAGGAGCGCGCGGCCGCGCAGGATAGTTGGCGCCGAGGGGATGCGCCGCGGTGCTCACTTAAAGTTTTGTTTGTTGTATGTTTTGTATTTATTTTTTATATTTTTTTTGCGGTGCTCACTTAAATCAGGCCGCTGATCACATCGCCAGGACCTGCGAGGTCAAGATGATCAAGTGCCTGGGAACTGCAAGCAGGGGAAGAATGGCGAGCCCGGCCGCCCCCGGGTCTTCTCGGAAGCGGCGCCCGCGTGGCCGCGCCTCTTCTTCCTCCGCGAGGGGCGCGGCGAAGGCTTCGAGCGCCTGGACGTCAACCTCGAGAAGATGGAAGCGGCGGGCGGCGTCGCGGTCTTCGGCGGGTGGGTCGCTTCTTGGCGTAGCATGCGGGGATGCAAGGATATCCTTCGCGATCGCGAAGAGGGCGGCGACCCTGGGGGCGCGTCCGAAATCGCTCCCCGCAACCAATGCGGGTTGTTCCTGGGGCTCTTCAATTACGTGAAGTTGGCGGGGAAAGTGGAAGCTGGCTTGGCTGCAGATCCCGACTACGCGAGGCTGATCGCGCAGCGCAGCGCGCGTTGCGGCGGCGACATGGAACAGATAGAGGTTGCAATGGCCGACCATGGCCACCATGCCAACATGGCCGACCATGGCCGACCATGGTGTGCACCGATTCCGTTCTAGTGTACAGGTATTTGGCTGCTGGCAAACGAGCCATGGCGCACGCCCAGGCTTCGTGCTTTGGTCAACCATTACGAAGTGCCTCACAACAGTAAATTCAACATCCCCGGCCGCCCCCTCGCCCAGCGCCCCCTGGTCAAGGGGATGCCGCGCGATGGCAAAACGACTGCGCCGTCGATGGGGCCGCCCAGCTCCATGCAGGGCGGAAAGGGCAACGTGGGGGGCCAAGACCGCGCGCCGATTGGCTCGTTTGCTTTCCTGGGCCGCGCTCGGTGCTTAGCGCGGGCTGCTTTCGCACAGGCTTGAAGAACACCGGGGGGGGCATATTTTCGCGGCGCATTGTTTCGGGCGGTCGTCTGCGCTGATCGCGGGCAAAACCTTCGCCGAGGCTGACATCACCGATTGCTGATTGGCCGGAGCGGCCGCAAAGTTACCGCAGGCGTGCAGATGGAGGACGACCTGCCCACCCTTCTGGCGTCCGCCGCGAACTACCCGACATGGCGCTCGTTCCACGCGGCCGCCATGTCCGCGCCGCCGAAGGAGGCGAAACAACGACTCATCAGAATCGCACTCTTGGGGAAGCCGACCTGGGACCTTCCGTTTCTTCGGAACCGTTCCGTGGACATGCGCAAGGCCGTTGGCATGCTTTTGGCATGCGGAAATTAAACTACTTGGGGGCCGTTTCGAGAATCGCCGCTGCCCCGCCACATCGAAGCTCCACAACGCCTGAAGCTCGGTTGAAGACGCGGTCCTGGCTGACTTGGAGAGGCATGTGACGTCCGTCGACGACGTGTCGGTGAACACGTACATGTTCGACGGCGCCATGTTCTTCACGCCCGAAGGTGCCGTGGACGACCTCCACGCAGCGGCGAAGACCGTCACCGACCAATGGGGTCTGACGGTGACCGTAGAGGTGATCGATAGAAAACCACGCGTAGATTGACGATGGGCGAGCTAGCATGATAATGTCAGGTCTGTTTTTGTTTGAGAATTTCTTGCAAATGCTGCACGGCTCTAGCGGCTGGAGGCCGCGCAGAAGGCTGCCATCTTCGTTTACGTCCGTTCCGCCACGTAGGGCTCTTTTGCGGCCCGAGGGCGCCATCCAGACTTCCAAGGAAGTAAAGGTCAACCACTGCCTGTGTATGCTGGTTGCGCGAGGCGCTTGTGCTCCAATATGATGATGCTTTGTTCGAAAGCTTCCGCGTAGAGGCAATCGAAAGCGCTGTGCCGCTTCTTCTTTTTCATATTCTTCAGATTCTTCTTCTTATTATAATATTATTAATGTTTGTTTTCTTCTTCTTCACGTATCCCCCCTTGCCGACACCAGCCCCACACCCCCCTCCGCCCTCCTCCTCCTACTCCACCCCCCCCCTCCTCCCCCTCCTCCTCCTCCTCCTCCTCCTCCTCCTCCTCCTCCTCCTCCTCCTCCTCCTCCTCCTCCTCTCCCTCTTCCTCTCCCTCTTCCTCTCCTTCCTCCTCCTCCTCCTCTTCCTGTCCCTCTTCCTCTCCTTCCTCCTCCTCCTCCTCCTCCTCCACTTCCTCCTCCTCCTCCTCCTCCTCCTCCTCGTCTTTCTCCTCCTCCTCCTCCTCCTCCTCCTCCTCCTCCTCCTCCCCCATCCGCCTTCTCCTCCTACGTGCTCGGCTGGCGTCGTGGGGCCGAACGGGAGAGGAAAACAAGAGGAAACACCACATTTGGACCAAACCTGTGTTCCCGCATGGAGAAAAAAAAAGGAAACCAAACTCCGCCCCCGAGGGCGGGACAGGGGGGAAGACATGGACAAGCATCCTCCCTTCTTCCTCTGGAGAGGAAAGGCTCGCCCCCTTGAAGGGAAAGAAGGACGCAATCGTCTGCCCCACGGGAGGAGGGATCCGCTCGCCGCCACAGAGGGGGGGGGGGAAGCGAAAAAGAGAGGAAACCAAACTCCGCCCCCGAGGGCGGGAAAGGGGTGCAGGACTGGAGAAACATCTGCCCGTCCTCCTCCAGATGAGAAAGGCTCGCCCCGTTAAAGGGGAAGGCTCCATCGTGTGTCCCACGGGAGGAAGGATCCGCTCACCGCCCCAGGGGGGGAGCAAACAAGAGGGACCAAACAACAGATAAATAGAAGATAGACCAGAGCCGGTGCGTTCACAGGGGGCAACAAGAACATCTCGTCCTGCAGAGCAGGCGGAAGAGGAAACAAGAGAAAGCTTGACACTCTGCTCCCAGGAGGAGGAGGAGGAGGAGGAGGGGGAGGAGGAGGAGGAGGAGGAGAAGAGACGTATTCCTCCTTTCCTCTTCCCCGCCTTCGGAGACGGAGCTGTCTTCTTCTTGCCCCCTGTGAAGACAAAGGTATTTGTCGTATGCTTCCTTGGTGTTCCTCTTTCTCGCTCCCCCCCCCCCGGGGCGGCGAGCGGATCCCTCCACCCATGGGGCAGACGATTGACATTTTCTCTTCAGGGGGCGAGCTTTTCTCCTCCAGAGGAGGACGGGAAGCTAATTGCTGTTGTTTCTCCTTCCCTACCTCGGAGGCGGAGTTGTCGTTTTTCTAGAATGGGGAAACAGAGGTTGTTCCATATGTGTTATGGTTCCTTTCCTTAAATCCTTCCACCCAGGGGAGATACGAAGAGGACAAGGCGGAGAAGGAAGCAGACGGAAGAGGAGAGGAAATGAAAAGATGATGCATAAGCAAGGGAAGAAGGACAAGAAAACGACGGAACGGCAGACCGAGCCAGGAAGGTATTAGATCAGGGGTTCAACCTATGAATATATACATATTTCTATATACACATATAAACATGTATGTTGTATACATAAAAATATGTACGCACACCTATGGATGCTCATACAGACATCGCAACATATAACAACATAACAATGGATTGGGTCGCCCCCTTCGGCGCGCTCCTCGTCGCAGTTGAGGTTCGGGACCGGGTCGCGCTTGCACAGCGGGCAGGTGCGCAGCGTGAACTTGCGTGCCGCGAACCAGTTGTCGATGCAGTTCTGGTCGGCTGACTCTCCTCCTCCCCCTGCTCCTCCCCCTCCTCATCATCAGCATCACCACCACCACCACCATCATCATCATCATCATCAGCATCATCAGCATCATCATCATCAGTATAATAATCATCATCATCATCATCAGCATCATCAGCATCACTAGTATCATCATCAGCATTCTCATGATGATCAGCATCATCATCAGCATCATCATCAACATCATCATCATCATAATCGTTATCATCATCAACACCATCATCAGCAGCATCATCACCATCATCACCGCCAGACGCATCATAATCATCATTATCCTTCTCATCAGCATCAGCATCGTCATCGTCAGCATGAGCCAAATTTCCATTACCACTAATCGCCATAGCTCATGGCCATCACCATCATAACGACTCCTCATCCTCTTCCACCTGCCCGATCCTGTCCCATCCTCCCCCTCCTCCGATGCTCCTTCCTCCTCCAGCTCCCCCCCTTCCTGCTCAGCAGTTGCAGATTATGATGCGCATGCGTGTTTCTGGAGTCGAGGTAGTATTCCTGCTAGGTGGACTCGAGTGTCGCCACCTAGTGCAGTAGAAGTTTGGACAGGAGGCAATATTTGCAAAGGCCAAGCCAATCTTGGGCATGGCGCCGCAGATTGTCCAGTGTATGCCTTCGGAGATGCACCTGGAAGATCAAATACTCACGAAGGTCGGTTGCAGTTTGTGTGATTACGTGTTTCACGCCTTTCACGATTGGTCCCTATCTCTTGGGGCCTTTGGCTGGAGGGATACAGACTGTACCCAAAGGGGAGCTCACGGCCCTTGAGCTCGACATACGTTGTTCAACTGGAGTTTTGAGTTTTGTCAACGACTGTTCGGAAGTATGTAGAGGGTGATGGTCGCAAGTATTTCGTCATCCCACTGGGTGTCATGCTGGTTTGCGGAGGCTCATCGGGCGACACTTGGTTGAGCAGAGGCGACCACCATCGGATACCATTGTCATGCAGATCCCATCGCACCTGGGTGCGGAAGAGGTATGCACGAGACGCCTTCCCACTTGGATGATGGTGAAAGGTAGCGAGGCAGTGGATCTTTTACCTGGAGTCGCGGCGGAAGTCGCGCGAGTGCCAGCTGAGGAGAGGCACAGCGTGATGATGGTTGGGAGGAAGGCTCCGCACGCGAGACGTCGCTTGTTGCGTGCAGGGCCGTGTTCCATCCAACGTGAGGCCGAGAAAGAAGTCGACGGCTGTAGCCAACAGACGAGCAGCACAGATCGCCCAATCAGGCCACTGAGGGTTGACTGTGTCCCTCCCCCTCCTCCCTGTCCTCCGCCGCTGCCGCCTCCCGCTCTATCCATAGCTGCTCGCTTCGCGACAGCACACGCCCTTGCTGACAGCGGTAAGTCTTGCTCAGTGTGTCATGGGTCTACGACTTTAGCGACCGTGTCCGAAAGGCCGAAACGTGAGTGCGACGCTTTAGATTCCATAGACGGTAGGGTCTCGGGTAAAAAGGGGCGTCGTATGCATATCGCTGGAGGTTGGGCCCACCCCTCGCACGCCCTAATGTATCATCATGTGTTAGGAATACGGTATTTCAATGTGTGCGGTTATTTCGGACAGTCCCAGCTCAGGGCACTAGGTACAGTTTGCAAGATGCCTGTTTCCAAAATTCGTCAGGAGTACTTGTTGAGGATCCGTCGTGACGAGTTTCCAAAGCGCAAGTAAGCTGAGCCTCGAGCAATGGCTCGAGCGGTGGTTTGTTATTCAGTTTCGCTACGCGAAGGCTGTAACTCCTGTAGTTCCTCCTGCTCATCCCTCCTCCCCATGCCGCCCCCCTTCCTCAACCCTACTCTATCTTCTCCAGACTCTCCTCCCGCTGCCCCCCCACCCCTCTTGTGGCCTGGTGGAAAAAGTGCTTGCATGGCAGGGTGCGGATCGGCTGGTCTGGCTCGTAGGCCTCCAGACACAGGCAGCACTCGGCATGGTCTTCGTTGCCCTGCACTTCCTCCTGCAGCTATCACTCTGTGCAGCGAGGGGGGGGAGGGAGGAGGATGAGGAGAAGCAGAGAGGAGGAGGGGAAGGAAGAGAAGGAGGAGGAGGAGGAGGAGGAGGAGGAGGAGGACGACGACAAGAAGGAGGACGCAGGGCGGGGAGGAGGAGAGGAGCAGGGAGGAGGGGAGGGGGGATGCTCAGTCGTTCCTACCTTTTTGTTGAACTTCTAGGGGGCTGGTCCCTCGTCACTATCGAAATCCTGCTCAGAACACACCTGAGGGTTGTCGTTGCTTTTACGGAAAGGGGGGGTGAGGGGATGGGGGAGGGGGGCGCCAGACCGACCTCCAGGCGTCGCAAGAGAATCACGACGGGGACTTTTCCCCACGTCGGCCCCTGGGGTCTACTTGCGCGCCCCAAGGGGCGTCAAAGACAGCCCGCAACGAAAATAGCCAGCGCCGGTGAAAGCCACTGGTGCCCACGTAGCGACATGAAGACGACCTCGGGGGTCTTGTTCCTCAGGCGTCGTGCTTGTTCCACTGACGTACATATCGGGTAGCACCACGAAGTCATGGGATGAGGAGAAGGAGGAGGTGTCGGGCAAGGGGTGGAGATAATCTAAGTTTCTTTGAAAGCTTTGGGGGTGTCGGGGCGGGAGGGCGCTCAATGGCTTTCGGAAGGACGGCTCCTGGAACTACACCAATGATTGTGTGCGAATGTGTGTGTGTGTGTGAGTGTGTGTGAACGTGTGTGTGTGCGTGTGTGAATGTGTGTGGGTGTTTGAGTATATTTGTGTATGAATGTGTGTGAGTATGTGTGCGCGTGTGTGCGTGTGCGTGTGTGTTGTGTGTGCGATGTGTGTAAGATGCGTGCGTGGTGTGTGGTGTGTGGTGTGTGGTGTGTGGTGTGTGGTGTGTGGTGTGTGGTGTGTGTGGTCTGTGGTGTGTGGTGGTGTGGTGGTGTGGTGGTGTGGTGGTGTGGTGTTGTGGTGGTGTGGTGGTGTGGTGGTGTGGTGGTGTGGTGGTGTGGTGGTGTGGTGGTGTGGTGGTGTGGTGGTGTGGTGGGGTGGTGTGGTGGTCTGGTGTGGTGGTGTGGTGGTGTGGTGGTGTGGTGT